GCTAGTCAAAACGACGTGTTCGTTTGTTGAAAATAGTAAACGTAGATTAGTGGCGGGAGGTTTAGGGACCAAAACGAGAAAATATTAACTCTTCTAGGCCACGAATGGAAAATTACAAAATCAATGGATTAAACATGCAAAATAACGAATGATCACGAACAGTTTAACGATTAAGAGCATCTCCAAACCAATATCGGTTCGCAAATTTTGCATCAATTTTAACATCAAATCTCTAAACCAACACCAAATTTGGTGTTGTAGTGTACATTAATATCAATTTAGTGTTGAAGTATTGTTAGTATAAAATGGACCATCAAGTTTGATATTTATGTTTTTTTAGTTTATTTGTTTGTAATTAAATAATATTTTGGTTATAATATTTGTTAATATTATATTATAAATTGTTTTTGTATAAATTTATAAGATATTATGAATTCCCTTTTTATGTCATTTAAAACTTATTTAAAATTTTAATAATTTAAAACATAATAACATATTAAATTGAAACACACACACATACACATACACACACATATATATATATATATATATAGAGAGAGAGAGAGAGAGAGAGAGAGAGAGGAGCGATCAAATGAAAACCCCCTCATTTGTGTAAACTAATCTCATTCATCCATTTTCTTGATCAATGGTCAAAATTAGTTTAGGTTATATTAGGAAATTAAAAAAATAAAAATTTATTTTATAACCCCAAAAAGGACAAAATGGTAACTTTGGTAGTGGTAGTATTAATGGCAATCATATCATGTATATCGTAATATTAATGAAACAAAATCATTTATAAAATAATATATTAATTTAATGTTCAAATATTATAAAAAAATAACATCCATTATTAAAATAATCAACAATAAAAATAAAACACACTATAATCAATTTAACATAATGAAACATTTTGAATAAAAAAAATTACTAATACATTTCATGAACGAAATGGTTTCACAGTTTCATCAATACACAAATCAACGTAATGTTAGATGAGACATTTGTCATTTTTAAGTTTCCGGTAGATAGATCTGTTTCAATCTAATTATGAAATGGTTTCACTGTTATTGGTAGATGGATCCGTTTCATCGTAATAATGAAATGGTTTCACTATTCGCTAATTACACAACATTTTCTTATCAATTATGAAATGGTTTCACTTTCTTCATGCACCCATTTCATCAGCTAATTTCTTCCAATACGAACACGTTTCATAGAGTCAATGCATTTACCATTACATGATTTGTTAACTATTAAGTGAACAAAATCATCCAAAAAAAATAAAACAAAAATGAAAGAATTTCATCAAATATTGTTGATAAGAAAACAAGATTATGCAAGAATATTATATTACGCAGCCAGCTCCTCAATGAACGTTTTCATGAACCAATCTGCATACGTTTGATAAAACAAGCTCCTCAATGAACGTTTTCATGAACAAATCTAACATGAATCTGTTTCACAGCTGATTATATTTTTACCGGGTCATGAATCTTTGTTTGGATCTGTTACTGATTTCGTGGATTAATAAATATAATAATTTTCGATTTTCATATTATTACCACTAATAAACCGAGAAACCAAATCAATATTCAATTTTTAAAATTTTAATTTAAATAAATATTTAAACATTACCATTTATAATTTTTTTTATTATGTTACCTTTATTAAGATTTATTAATAACCTTCATATTTAATAGAAAACAATATAAATGACAAATCTACCCTCAATGATTAAATTTAATTAAGAAAAAAAAAGAATTTTTCTATTGGTCGAAATTAGTTTACATGGTTTCTAAGAATTAGACGGTTTTCATTTGATCTCACCTCTACATATATGTGTGTGTGTGTGTGCGCATACATATATCTACATAATATATATATATATATATATATACATATATATATATAATTGGGATCATGTGGGACCAGCCTGTTTTCGTAAGACCCGTGAGACCATTTTTATTACACTTGAAACTTTACAGCAAAACGCTGTGAAGGTAACTTTCACAATGTTTTTGGTGTGAAGGTTCAGCTATTTTTTACCTTCATAATGTTTTGATGTGAAGTTTCAAGTATGAAAAAATGGTCTCACAGGTCTCACAAAAATAAGCTGGTCTCACGTTAATCTAACCCTATATATATCAATAGGATGAAATAAAAAAGACACGATCGGGTAAATGTAGTAAAAGTTTTTATTAAACTATTAAATAACAAAAAAATCATGTGTTAAATTTATTAATAACTAATAAATAAAAGTGTAACATTGAAAATCTATATAAAATTAAAAATATAAAATATACTTGAAATATTTTTTTTATGTTAAAATTAGTCCAAAAACACCTAAAAACAACAATATAATGGGCCCATTAAAACTAAAAAGATTTTCGGTTTCACCCACCGATTATCTAGATTATATTATAAAGTATTTGACAAATACTTTTAAATATTATTTTTTATGCATGAAGTATTGTTTATTGATGYATATTACTTAAAATTTAAGATTACAAGTAAATTGTGTATAGATACAACTTATTAAAGATTCATACTTGAATTCATGTAACTAACTGCAGATAAACATAATCAAATATTGGTAAACATCTCATTTTAAATATAAACAATCTAAAATATAATTATGATAATTATTGAGTTCTAACAGAATACTTAGTTATTATCTTTATAAAAAATTATATTATTAAACCTAAATTAAATTACTTTGTTACGTAAAATTAAATTATAATAAAAAATTTGAATTAAGGAAATTACACCAAAAACAAGAATTTTTAAAAAGGTTAATTTGATACTGGTATCGATATATATATTTTTTAAAATTTTACGGTATTTTCAAATTTATATTTTATTTAAAAATAAAAACATTATCGCGTTCTCAAAATCACATAAAACCGTATTATATCGGCATATAAAAAGAATAAAACGAAATACTGAAAGCGAGATGTGTCTCGATGCATTGCACGAGTACCCTTCTAGTAAAAAAAATTAAAATTTATGGATTTCATATCAAAATAACATATTTTATTTTTATTAAACAACTTTTAAATGAAATAATGAGAATTTATAAATGTTAGAATAATAAATAATAAATAATTGATTTTTTAAGAAAATGATAATTATTATATATATTAATTTAATGTAAAGATAATTATTATATATGTTAATTCCCTTCAAAATAAAGGGCTTGAAAGTTTGTCCCCTGGTTGAAGTTGCTCTAATGGGATAGAGAAAAATTAATATTTTAATAAATTTTTATATTATTTTGGTATAAAAAATGGTGCAAATTGTGATAACTGGTTTTCGGTTATAAAGTTCGGGGTCGTTTATGATTATTGGTGGTAAGTTAAAGGGGTTGATTTGGTTATATGCGTAAATGTTTTAAAACACTTCCACTTCCTTAATTATTTATATGAGTTTTATTAGAGATATTTATGTTATCTTTTGGAAAGTTGGCGAAAAAGCAAGTAACCAGAAAAGAAGAAAAGGTCTTCTATGTGATTTTGAAACCGAAGCAAAAGTAGAAGCTGTTTTTTGTAAATTTTTGTCTGGATAGTTGTTTTTTTCATTTTCATATCATCTACGCGATTCATAAGGTGAGTCTATTTTTATAACTTTCCTTATTTGGAAATTGGAAATTTGAACCATATGGTTTGATATAAAACTGTTTTGGATGCTATAATTAGCATAATTGTGGGTGTTCAATATATTTATATCATGTATTGATATAAGGGTGACATATCAAGGAGAGATGGATTTTGGTTATAAGGGTGACATATGAAGGAGAGGTGTATACTGGGATAAGGATGACATTCAAGGAGAGGTGTATTCCAGAATAAGGGTGACATAATCATTGAGTTATAAAATCTGGATTTTTGATCAAAATGTTCTTTGTTATTGCATCCTTATGATGCGATAACTTGAGTTGTCGCATCTGTGTGATGCGATGAAAAGTGGTTATTGCACCTATATGATGCGAGGAGTGAGTTTATCGCATCCTAGTGATGCGATAAGTTAACTTATCGCACCAGTGTGATGCGATAAGTTGGGTTTATCGCACCGATATGATGTGATGAGTTGAGGTCCTCGCACCAGTGTGTTGCAAGGAAATGGGTTTGTCTCACACATGTGATGCGAGAAAGTTATATATTTATCTACATGATGCGACATGTTTACTCAGAATGTATTTATTAAGTTATCTGACCATTTTGATGCGATAAATGAGGTTCTATTATCTCAAGTGATGTATATTTGTTATTATTACAAATACGAGTTTATAAATGTAATTTGGTGATTATTCACTCTATAATAGCATCAAAGGGATTTCTCATTAGACCTCCAGGTTTAACCCTCATTTTGTATTTCAAAAATATGCACTACAAGTTGAACTCAACCAGAGGATAAGGAAAAGGGAAATTGTGAAGAATTGTTTTTATCTGCATGGAATTTTAAGGGTATCATGATATCTTTTGCATCTGGGAACTTGTTATATTACAAGTTTTGTATAGAGATTTTGTGGACAAAGTTGTTAGCTATTTTGTATTATAGCTTTTTGTAAGATATTGAGACCATATGTATAAATTATATTTTTTGATCTATGAAAATATATATTTATATGCAAATGTGATCGTGGGGTGTTACACAAATAACTAGAGATGGTCTAACAATTAATTTTTTGTTGCAAAATTTAAGCGTCTTTGTATACGTATAATTCTCTATGCATATGTATGTATGTATGTATGTATGTATGTATGTATGTATGTATGTATGTATGTATGTATGTATGTATGTATGTATGTATGTATGTATGTATGTATNATGTATGTATGTATGTATGTATGTATGTATGTATGTATGTATGTATGTATGTATGTATGTATGTATGTATGTATGTATGTATGTACTAACCCATATAGATCGAAAACTCTGATCTCTCATAGCTAATCTTTTTTATTGTTAAACTAATAAACAATAACTTACAATAATTCTTATAGCTTGGCTTTTGCACGACATTTTGACTCAACTTTTCTGGTCATGATCTCGACAGAAATATCACAAATGTTCGTCACCTTTGCTCCCATTTGTATGATCTTAAAAATACTTACTTTCCCTTTCAAAGTTGCCGTTGAGGTGAAGTTGAGATGACCTGAACCCATATCATTATAGAAATTTGGATTCGTCACCATTTTCTCCGCAGTCACATTAGCGTATGCCGTTATGGTAAAGTTGCCATGAGCTGGGATCTTGGCTTGCTCAATTGGGATCTCAGCTATAAGGGTCCCTCGATAATCAACATATGCAGTTGAGCTATGAAACTTGAAGCTCCCGTAATTACGATTGCTGATCGTCACGTTTAACACGATTGTTGCATTTATGCTAACATTAGGGTATAACTGGAATTTGACATTTTCAAGGCTCGTCGGATGGGTTGTAATCTTGGGATTTTTCGGTTTGAAGACTGTAAATAATAAGATTATAAAAACAATAAGAAATATAAATAAAAGCAATGCTGCTACGCCACAACATATCGTTAGAACTCTTCTTGATTTCCCTTTCTTCGCTTCCTTCATTTCCCACTTGATTCGACGAACTTTTGTGTCCTTTTTTCAAACGATTGTTATTTGAATATAAATAAGGGTAAGAATGGAAAAGAAAGTTTGATAGTTATTTTGTCTGTTTGGTGAACGAGATAGGGAATTTTTGTTTCGTTATCTGGGCACAAAACGACTAAAAAGGAGTAAAAGAAAGAAAACGGAAAATGTCACTCTCTAGGTAAGAAGAACGTTTTGCATCATTCTTTTATAAAAAATACATAGAAAATCAAACAAAAGACGAACAATTATGCATACATATGATCGTCTTGATCTAGCAAAGCTATATAATGGAAATCGGCAAATGGGTTTCGTTTATATGAAGAAGATAATACTACGATTGTTTTCTGTAGACAATACTACACAGCTATCAAGAAATCTATACTATATTATAGAGCATTTGACAAAAACTCTTAAAAACCACTTTTTATGCGTAAAGTTTTGTTTATTAATGCATGTTACTTAAAACTCAAGATTGCAATTAGATTGTATGTAAGTACAACTTATTAAAGCTTCATATCTGAATTCGTGTTGCTAACTACAGATAAACATAATCAACTACATGATACATCTCATTTTAAATATAAAAAATCTAAAATATAATTAGGATAATTATTGAGTTCTAATAGAATACTTAATTATTATCTTTATAAAATATTATATTATTAAACCAAAAATAAATTATTTCGTTATTAAACTTAAATTAAATTATAATAAATTAAAGAA